AACTTGTCGGGCTGGAAGACGTAGACGTGGTTCTGGCCATGGGGCGTCTCAAGAGGGAGCAGGTCCCACTTCACCAGCGCCTGGTCGCGGCCGTCCTCATTGTGGTGTGCCTCTCACCAGAGCTGGTCTCTCTCCTCCTGTGTCTGTGCCAGTGGTGCAGGAGACTGGTCCATCTTCGTCGGCTCTTTCCGAGTTTTTGGCTCTTATCCACCAGGAGGTTTGCCTGCAGTTGGCTGTTGCCTCCCCAACTGGTATCCAGGACCAGTCTGGTGCTTCATTGGCGCCTGCTGATCTGGAACCCAGCCCCCCGGCTGAGGCACCATCTGGCTCTCCGGCTGGTGTTGTAGGTAAGCTAATCGCTGTGGATATTTATTGCCTGGTGTATTGATTTTTGTTAATTACGGGTGGTTTTGTTTGTTTGTATGGGGGGGGGTTTGTGTTACATGTTGTTGGGGCATGTCCTGGCAATTAAGGAAGTTTTTGTTAGCCGAATTCATCGTAGCACTGTCTTCTTTTCTTCCTTATTTTTGTTTTTATTTTGTTGCTTCATTATCTCACCACGGTACGTGGCTGTCTAAGCTTTCTGGTTAACACCACTTATTTTGTCGGTTTAGTTTGTTTTGGGATGGTGTTGCTATTGATGTTGGTGAAGGTTGGGGTGGTTGCTTCTGTGATGTTGTAGGGGGGTGTTGTATGTTGGCTGGGTGGTATGTCAGCTTTGTTTATGACATGCACTGCTGCCTGGATTTTTCTTTTCTTTTGGTTTTTTCAGCATGTCCACAGCTCCTTGTTTCCTTGCAGGACATCCCACTCATTTCAGTATTCTGCCTTCCACTGTGGCTTCTGTTGCAGCAGTACCTCTTCTTTCGGCGTCTCCGCTGCAGCCAACAACAACACTTTCTCTGCAGGCAATGGCTCCTGTTCCAATGTCGGGGATGCCCCCGTCATCTGACGCTGCCAACACTGGTATGTCTTCCCAGCATACTCCTGTTGTGCTGCCTTCCCAGGAATTTGGTGTGCCAGGGCCTCCTGCTGCCCCTGGTCTCTCCTTGTCTCTATCAGCTGAGCCTATCCCAGCAAGGCTAGTCCAGAAGATCCGAAGTGGCCAGTTTGTTAAGATGAGGGAGCTGCTGGGTGATATCATTGCGCTCACACAGCATTTTGAGTCGTTGGCTGGTTAATGTTCCATGGTTCTGCCATCATCAGCTCGCCCTCGCCTCCGAGAGGTACCCACTCTTCCCTCGTGGATTTATTGTTTTTTGACCTACCTGGCTGTGTTAGTCCAGGATCAGTTTATACAGGATCGCCTTGTGTATGCTAGGTCCCTAGTTTGGAATCACTTTGTCATGGAGGTCGGGGCTGGTTGGATTACGACTGGCTTTTTTTGGCAGCAGGCGGCCCTGGATCACTCTTTGTTGTGGGGTACCTTGCATCCTACTTTGGTGGCTACTTTTTCCGGGTGTGTCAGGGCTGTGACCATTCATCTGCTGAGTGTGCTTTGTTGGCCCTTCAGCCTCCAGCTCAGCAGGGAGTCCCAGCTAGGGTTCTGAGGTCCTCTCTGGTTTGTCGCACCTGGAATGAGGGTAGGTGTGCCTTTCCACCAGGTTGGTTTGTTCGCCTTCATACCTATGCGACGTATGGCAGTTCCTCACATCAAGCGAGGGATTGTCGGGAGACCCCTGCTGATTCCAGGTTCGGTACAGCCAGGAGGGGTAAGTTCCACCTTCCCCATCAGCCCCACCTTCCCCATCAGCCACACCTACAACTCAATGACTTTGACACAGTTGTGTCTTGATATGTTTGGTTTCATTTATGGTCTTTGTTTCATTTTATTACACTTATCTTGTTGTTATGATTATTTGATGTTAATTGTGGTTGTCTACTGGTGTGGGATGTGTGGCTATTTTAATGTTGGAGGGGACTTTATGAGTTGCTTGCATGTACTATGGTTATGGTGGTCATCCCGGTTTCCTTTGTTAGGCCCATGTCTTAGGACTCATACCTTGGCACTCATGGGCTTGGTCAGGGATCATTACATTTATCAGGAGGACCTTGAGGGTTTATCCTCTGAGGCATGCCTTCATTCTGTGGTTCCGATGGGGTGCTTGTCGTCAGTGGTGTCTCCTATTAATGTCTCATTGTTGTCTTCACTTTTGTCTTCCTACCCTGACCAGCGGCTGTCTACGTATGTGAGTCTGGGGTCAGAGCCGGTTTCTTGGTTGGGGTGTTGTGGTCCACCCTTCCTCTCGTAACCATCCTTACTGTCGGTCGATGCCCTCAGTGGTCGGTGCTTACCTTGCCTCTGAACAGGCTGCTGGTTGGATGTCTGGTCCATGGCCATGCTCGTCTTCTTTACTTACTAGCCCAGTGGGATTTGTCCCCAAGGGTCATATGGTCTAGCATGAAGGATGATAGTTGATTTGTCTTCGCCTAGGGGCCAGAGCGTGAATGATAGTATCTCACCAGACCTTTGTTCTCTCAGCTATCCCTCTGTTGATGATGCTGTGAATTATGCGTTGGCTTTGGGCAGGTCTACTC